AAACAAGAGCAGAACCACCAAAAAATTCATAGCCTAAAATTCCCTCTTCCTCATCTCTTCAAACACTCCAGTAATCAGACATAAGAGATAAAACAATCGTCCCTAACTCATCACGAGTCCGAAATCTAGACGTCGCCACGTAGCCGAGGCCCTCGCCGAGAACATGCAATTTCCCCTCGCCGACGACCCATAGCCGTTGTCGTACCCAGAACACGAGTCATCAAGCAACAGCATCATCCTCCGTCAGCGAGAGCCGAAATCCACCGCGTTCGAACCCCGACCAAGATCCGCTCGATTTTCTCGACGTGATGCGAATCCCTGAACTGAAGCGAGGCCTTAACAGGTCACCCCCACCGACGAACGCCGGCAGCAGCAGAAGCATCCTCCGGCAATCGAGAGTAGCCTCGCCAAGGACGACACCAGTCCGGCCAACCACCCCTGTCCATGCCACTACCCGCCGAGTCCAAGCAGCTACATCCGTCGGAGAGCCGCTGCCTACCCTAGCACCACCGCACGTCTACAGCCACCCAAAGTCCCAGCCACGTCCCGTCGAGGAAGCTGCGATCCGCTGTAGATCATCGACGACTGATCGCCACCCAGTCCTCTCGCTGTCGCGCCGTTCGAATCGCCACCCGATTTCAAGCCAACCGCCACATCGGAAAAATTGATGTCGTTGATTCCTTTTTCGACGGCCAACCACGGTAAGGTTCGACGCCCTCTGTGTTGCTGCTGCCACTTACGCCGAGCCACCGCCGTCCTTCTGCCGTTGTTTCCGTCGTTCGTCGCTAAGTATCGTGAGCCGTCGCCGAGGTCGGGCAAACGCAGAACATGACCCTCTCAATTGGGGTTTCTGCTGTTGGGCGATAGGAGAGGGACAAATCGAAGTCGATTGAAATTGGCAGTGAACTTAAGGATGAAGTGAAATTTTGAAGTGAAATTCGGTGTTTACGGGATGAAGAGGGGAAGTGATGAAGGGAAAGAAAAATGACGAAGAAGAAAAGAAACGAGAGAAGGAGGAGAAAGAAATAAGAGCTAGGGCACCGCTACAGTGCCGTCGTGGTACCGTTCCGTTGTTTTGTTTTAGGCCTTTAGATGTTGAAAATAAAAGGCAGCCTTTGGATTAAGTGGAACCCCACGATACTGTGGAATAAACCACCTAAACTTTGTTATGCCTATCCATTATCAATTCACTCCCACATTGATTTTTTTTTTTTTCCCGCTATTTTGTAGTTCAAATAGTATATTTGAAATTATTGCCAATTAAATGTCCTTCTTACTAATTGCTTAATTCTATGCTCAATTTCTTAAATTTCTAATTCACCTCTTATCATAATAATATAATATGATTTTAATTGATTCACAATTTCAAAATTTATATATATATATTTTTTTTTATTTTGAAACATTAATTGAGGAATTTGTACCATAAGTGAAATGACTTTATTTTGAAATATATATTTTTTAGTATTTTATGTGTAATTATATATCGCTTAAATTAATTATAAATTGTTTTTTATAATTCTGCATTTATAATTTAAGTAATTTATATTTTCAGTTTCTTTATATGTATTTCTATACTATTCTTCTCATCTCCCTTTTTTTCTTAATTATATTTTCAGGTGGAAAATTTTTCAGTGAATACTAATTAAATAATACAAGTCAAACACCTCTATTTACAATCTGATATTTACTTTTCTCATTCTCATGAAAACTTTAAGCGGAGTACTCTTCCAAATGTGAATTTAGGAAATTGGATTTTAAATGAAAAAATACGAAAATATGGGTATTTGTAAACTTTGCATACAACAACAACAACAACAATAATAATAATAATAATAATAATAATAATAATGTAAATAAAAGATTAAAGAAATTAGGGATGAGCATGGGACTTGAAAATTACCGAAACGTTTTGAAAACCGAATCGAATTCACCTCGAATCAAAAAATATTGGTTGACCATTTGACTATATTTGAACTGAACTGAGCTGTACTGAAATATTTTTTGGTACGGTTTTAGATATTCATAAAATATCTGATGACCGAATCGAATATAACCGTACCAAACCGAGGACCAAACATGACTGATTCCAATTCATAAATTACATATATAAAAAATATTTTATCTTATGTTTTGCACTTAGATAAAATAGTTCATTAGCGAGTGAACAGAAGATCATTTTATCACTTACATGCTATACAAGAATTGTTGGTTCACAACCTATATGGAAATGAACAAACTGTCGACCCCCTGATCTACTGACACGTGGCGCAAATAATGTAATTATCCGACCTTCAAGACAAAACAACGAAAAGTACAACTCGACAACAAGATGAATTTAACAAGAAGCTTTGTCACTCAACAATAAAGGAGTCGATCAAGACCCCTGGGGGACCTACCTCTGACAACGCATTAAATGCAAACAAGACGCATGTCCATTGTACTGTTGAATAGTAATCATTAGACATGGGACCTGCTATGTCATCAAATCACATTAAATGCTCATGTATTGACATCGTGAATAGTGCTCTTGACTTTAGCACTATACATAGCCCTCGTTTATTGTACTTGAGACATAATTAAATTTTTTTTCTAAGAATAACTTTCAACTGTACTCAGTATCTGAGTTGTTTTAATATATAAATATATGGTCATTCGACCTAATTCACTATTAATATCTTTTTTACTTAGGGAATTTTCTTAACCCATTGATTCAAATTTCTTGCATCAACAAATTGTTTATGAAATTTTAAGGGTCTAGTTATGCCATAAAACTTAATTAACTAATATTAATAAGAAAAATCTTAATCATTTAAAAAAAATCATAATATTAATTTTAAAGAAATAATTTGAAAAAAGTTTTAGAATATATTATTTATAGGTATATAGTTCTATATTTCATTTATTGTGACTTTATGATTAGGGAGTAATAGCTATTATTTAGTAAAATAAATATAAAATATAATATCTTTATTAATGCAGCTAACATGTTCTTTTTAGAAAATTGTTGAAGAAGTGAGTAGAAGAAAATGCATGAAATTCTTTGTGTACAATTATATATATTAGCAATCATCATTAGTCAATTAATAAGATACTTATTCAATAATTAATAATAAAAAAACAACTGATTTTTAGTTAATGAGATTATAATATATGTAATTATGAATATGTTTTAATATGTTGGTTTTGATTACTTGACACTGGTTGTTACCCGTGCCTTTGCACAGAAAACTATATGATAAAAAATAAAATAATACGATAGTAAAAATCATAACATAATCACTGAAAAAAAACGTTTTAAGAAAGAAAATTCAAATATAATTAAACACTTCTTTATATACAACGTCTATAATTTTTCGAAGCCCATTCTGATTTCTTGATGTAGCCAAATAAAAATTTTTATTAAGAGCATGTTTTAAATTAAGCTACAACCCATTATTTTTTTTTTTTTTTTTTAACTTGAGCCCAAACATTCACATTTCATTGTTTGATTAACAAATCTCAAACAAAATCAAACAATAAGTTTTTTTTTCGGGCAAAAAATGGGTCAAATAAACTGCATTTCGTTTGAATTCAAGTAGTATCAAGGCTGATGTTTTTTTTCTTTTCGGGCCCAAAACTGGGCCAAATTAAACATAACCCAAATGCACGGACCCATATAGCACGCTCAAAGCTTCATCCACCACACAAATGTAGAACTTCAATAAAATGGTAGAGGCATGTATTTAATGCCTAAAATCCTATCACCTGCAATATTTTCGTTGTTTCTTCTTCACTTTTAATTTTTTTTTTCTCTAATCGGAGACCAATACTTGGATCAATTCTGATTTTGTTTAGCCGTCGTAGACATGCTTTTAATTTATACATGTCTTACATCATGAAAAACAAACTTCGGCTCAGTAGTTACTTCTTTGTTTGCCGGGAATTTTTTAACTAAAATCGAATCAATCGCTATATTGCAGTTTTTTTTTCTTGTTCTTAGCCAAGAAAATCATATTATCAAATTGCACTGCCGTTTGGAACTCAAAAGAAATATTTTATGTCGAAATAGGTTTTTTCGGTGACTGCGATTATGAGTGTGGAAATGCAAGGTGAAAATGTGTCTGATTTTTGTTTTATTTATAAGCACATACAAAAAGTCTATTAATTAATTAGTGTAAATACTAACAAATCAACAACATGATTAGTTGAAAATATTTTGATAACTGAAAAAATGGGTTAATTGCGCCAAATCCACCTGTATTATACGAAATCTGCGCGTTATCCCTCTGTATTTTAAAAAATGCGCCACACCCCCTTGTATTATACTTTTGATTGCGCACGCTCCCCCCACCTCGTTTTCGTGTTAACCCAGTTAATTTTTTGCTGAACTTCCCGTTATGCCCTCAGAAACAAATAATTATAGTCAGTCTAGAAAAGGAGTCTCTCCCGAAAAACCTAATTCCCCTTTCCGTCGCCTTTATCGTCTCGCTTCTTCCTGAATTTGTACAGCCTTCTCACCGAACCTCCTCCTCTCCACCTCCAAATACCGGCCGAGGGAATCCCTCCCTGCGTCGCAATCGTCCCCGCACAGGCTCCACCATCTCCGCCTCTGCCGCACCTCGGCCGCCTCCGCCCTGCCCCTCGTGGGATTCGCGGATCTCCGGCCTCCGCTCATGGCGGAGGCTTGGTTCTCCTGCTGGAAATGCTGGGACGAGGCCCTGAAAGTGATCGCTTGGAGGGTGACGCCCATGAGGGAGCCCAGGGAGGTGCTCCGGTCGGGGAAGAATGAGTCTGTCGACTGTTGATTTTTTTCAAATACAAAATATGTATGTGAGCATCATCTATTCATCTGTCTGTAGATACATTTCGAAAAGGGGGAAAAAATTTAATTAAAAAAGAAAAAAAGGACAATGAACGGTAAATTGGGCGTGAGATTTGTACCTCAGTGTCGAGATCGGAGGAGGAGAGAGAGGAGATGGTGGGGGAGAAAGACTGTGGCGCCATATCATTAGCTGGATCTAACATTACTACGCCTACCTGAGGTTCTGTGCATGTGTGTGTGTGTGTGTGTGTGTGTGAGAGAGAGAGAGAGAGAGAGAGAGAGAGAGAGAGAGAGAGAGAGAGAGAGAGAGAGAGAGAGAGAGATTTTGTTAAATGGGGAGAGTTTTTGTGTTGAAGTGTAGATTATTGTAATGGAGTATAAAATTGTGTGAAATTGTGTTTTCTGACGAAGATAAATTTTAGGCCCGTTAGGAGTGGTTTTGATTGGTATATGGAGTTCAATTTAATTTAGGTATTAAGGGGCAAAATAGTCATTTCTCTGAGTTTATGACGAAAAAATGGAGAAAAAGCCGCACCACACGCGCGTGAAATGCACATCCGTCAAGTTAGACGGTTTAGGGGATAACGCGCAATCAAAAGTATAATACAAGGGAGTGTGGCGCAATTTTTAAAATACAAGAGGATAACGCACAGATTTCGTATAATACAGGGGGGTTTGGCGCAATTAACCCCTGAAAAAATATGAATTATATAGTGGCGCATTTAATACGATTTTTGTCACTGAAATTTATGTTCCGCCAACTAAGGATTTTATTTTTAGAGTCAAAATTATGTTTTTGTTTGTATTTATTAATTACACATGTACTTCTATCATATAAAAGTTATTACTTTTTCTTAAGTTATCTTTATCATTCAAATTAATTGAGATTTAAATTTTATTTTTAACTATGCAACGTTTACATTAGTAACATAAATAAATTATTTATATATTTGTGGCATATATTAAGAAAATTAACATAAATAAAAAAATTATTCGTGTTTCTAATTTTCAGGAAAAAAAAATATGTGTCAATCATATTTTTTTCCAACAATGCAACCAAATATAGCGGTTACATCTGTGAATGTGTCAATCAACTTCAAGTTCTAACATTAGCCGTTACACATTTGAATATTTTGCTACCAAAATTATAATTAATTTAGTAACTGATCCAAAAACTAAATAAAAAAAACATATATACTAAGGTGTAACGGTTTTAACAGATTAGTGAGTAATTAATTAAAAAAAAATGTAACTTCTTTTGAAGGGAAATGAAAATAGGTTTTATTAAATGTTTTATTAAATGCATTAGCTAGTAATTATATATATATATATATATATATATATATATATATATATATATAGATATAGATAACTGCCTATCAATGATCATTCACATGAATTGCAGGAAAATAAAATGATGGGAGGACGTCGTAAACTCCATGAGTTGTAGGAAATGTTATTAAAATATTGCGCTGTTAAAATGTTTAGTTCCATTGAGAAGCTTTTGTACATGTTTTTTATTTTAATTAATTATCAGTGATTATCTTAACGTAATTTAATGAGAACTTTATTAACATTGTTTTACATTTTAATTGTTTTTAATTTCGATTTACCTAAAAAAATATGGGGTAGAAATATCATGAAAAATAAATAATACTATATAAGCATTTAGTGGAAAAAAAACGTTACAAAGGTGATATTTATTAAACAATCTTACCATATATAAACGAAAATTTTTTGAGCGAGAAAATGTAGGTTATCTCATTAATTGGATAGCCTACAATTATATATATATATATATATATATATATATATATATATATATATATAGATTATGGTGTTGACAAACTTGTAGAGTCGATTGTATATGAAGAGGAGTAGTAGATAAATAATTATTCCACATATTATTATTATTATTATTATTATTATTATTATTATTATTATTATTATTATTATTATTATTATTATTATTATTATTATTATTATTATTATTATTTTGTTATCATTGTTAGTAACCTCTTATCAAAATCTAAATGCACTTTTAATTTTAAAAAATATATTAAGTTGGGGACGGAGTGCATATAATTTATTTTTGATAAAGATATAAGTGGGGGTGGAGTGGAGATTAATTTTCTACGAGAAAATATAGTATACATCACTTATTACCACTATCAAATGACTTGGCATGTTTTTTTTATTGGATAAAAAGTAAAGAAATGGTTCCCTTAAAATGGTGAACGGTACCTTAGAATTTTCCTAAGAGAAAAGGGAGAGGAAAAGAAAAGGAAAAAGAAAAAGAAAAGGGGTTTGGGATTTTGCTAAATATGTGAAGTTGGGCCAATTGTGTTTGGACCAAGATAAATTATTAGAGAAAATGAAATAATTGGGCATATGAGTTGGACATGTAACTGGTTTTAAATTGGACATCGGAAGGAGCTTTGACCCAGCCATCGAGCTGAGCCTCCGAGCCCCCTTTGGAGTACGGTAATGAGTGGCTTACTCTGGACTTGTTTTTAATGTGTATATGTATATATGTGTTGCCTTGATGTTTGTGAATAATTCGTGCAATATGTGTTTATGTTGGATTGCTGTTTCGCGTTCGTCTCTTTGGGTTAATGTCAAAACTGAAGGACGTAAGTTTTTTTTTTTTT